TAATTAAGATTAACTGTAGCAGTTTGATATTTTAAGCTATACAATCTTACTGCTTTTTATTAGATGTTTACAAATTTTTACAAGGTATAGCGATGACAAGTAGTTTTAACAAAGGATTTAAGTATCAGCAGTATTAAAACACCAGATTTTAACAATGGAGATGTACATATATTCTTTTTTTTTTTTTTAGATTTATTTTTTAATTTATTTATACAAGCACTGGGTACAGTCAGAAGCGCGGAGGGTGAGAGAATTCACCAGAGCCAGAGCAGGGAGCAGAGCAGGCAGAAGGACCGAAGTACACTGCTGAGGGGAGCAGCGGGCGGCAGGAGAGGTCTGCGCGCCATGTGGGACCCTCCTCTAGTGGCCGGGGAGCAGCCGGGGATCGAACCGGCGCTGCAGAGACTGCGGGCAGCTTCGCAACCCAGCGCTCAACCGCTACGCCACCGGGGAGGCCCATACATATATTCTTTTAATAGACCTTGGGACTTTTACTTTTTTAGAAAGCTAAGATATGAGCATCTAGATATAAAGTAATATTGTTAGGTAGAATAACTATCCCTAATAGTAAAACATAATGAGGCTAATAATGATAAAGGGGTCTCCCTGGTGGTGTAGGGGTTAAATCTCAGTGCTAGTACCGTGATGCCCCTCCTGTGGCAAAGCTGCCTGAATTCGATCCCCTGGAGGTAACCCACATGGCACAGCAGACCTCTCTTGTGTTGCCACTGCCACCTCATCAGTGTATTACAGTCGATCAGCGTGTTCTGCTCCCCATTCTGTCTCTGGTGAATCCTCTCACCCCCTGCACCTCTGGCCTACACCCCAGTTCTTCTATGCAAAAATAAAAATTAAAATAAAAAAATCAAACAATAAAGGATTTTCTTTTTAAAGATTTATTTATTTATTTTATACAAGAACCTGGGTACAGGCCAGCTGCGTGGAAGGGTGAGAGGATTCGCCAGAGACAGAAAGCGGAACAGAACAGGCAGACTGACTGAAATACACTGCTGAGGGGAGCAGCGGGCAAGACAGGAGAGGTCTGCCATGCCATGTGGAACCCTCGCTGGCTGGCGGGGATCAAACCGGCGATGGAGAGGCTGTGGCCAGCTTCACAGAGCAGAGCTCAACTGCCTGTGCCACCAGCAGAGGCCCTAAAGGAATAATTCTTAAAAAAGTAATGATAAAGATACATCATCAAAGGAAAACAATGACTTGTGAGGAAAAATGATTATGCAGGCATTGAAAGAGATGACTTGTAAAGGTAATTATGGCACTGGAATAAATGATTTGGGGAAAACATATTTTGTTCCATCTGTTCAGTCTCTCTCACTTCACTCATATATGTCTTAGAGAGCCACCTTAGTAAAAAATACAGGGTGAAAATAACAGGAAGGGTTATAGCTTTCCAATCAGTAGAAGGAAAAAAAAAAAAAAAACAAAACGGCAATTCCCCATTTTTCCATTGTCAAAATCTGTCATGTTTGCGGATCTCAGAATCCTTTAATTATCTACAATGATATCTTTATCAGACTATTGTAATGTGAAACCTTGCAAAGTGAAGAAATGTGTTTATTTTTTAAAAGATTTATTTATTCACCAGAGACAGAGTGGGGAACAGAATAGGCAGACTGACTGAAATAAACTGCTGAGGGGAACAGTGGGTGAGACTGGAGAGGTCTGCTGCGCTGTGTGGGTTATCTCCTTGCCCGGGGATCGAACTCATGCTACAGTAGCTGCTGATAGCTTCATAGTGCTGATACTTAACCCCTTACGCCTCCTAACAATTTTTATAGCAGTCTAGCCATGACTGTTTGAAAGATATGTATAAAAAAATTTGAAATGTAATTTTAACTTTTTACCTTTATTAAACTATCCTATGTGTGTATTTCCCTACTGGGAAACACAATATTATCTGACTTAGTGCCAGTGTTTAAATCAGACTCTTTGTTGATCATTATTATACATACATTTTATTCTAGGGAATTTTTTTCCCTTTCCAACGGAGTCAAACAGGATGTTCTTCCATAGTGAGAGTCTACTAAGTGCAAAAATGAAAAGCTAGAATTCTCACTATAATATTTCTACTAACAGTTGGCCTTTAGTATCTCAGTTTCTGCTGACAAACTGGTTTAAGATTACTCATTCTTAACTCACAAATTTGCTAGGAGGATGCAATCTGACAGCGTGTATAACATCTTTTGGTAGTGCAAGTGTTTGTAAAGGCTTGGTATTTTTGTTATTAGTAATATAATGTCTTTGCAGTCTTATCAATAATGTTATTGGTTTTCATAGAATATTGTAGAGTTAACATTCTGAAATCAGGTGATATTTAATTTTTATTGTGTGCTTGGTGAAAAATAAAGAACACATTGCTTGATCTTACCACAGATTTTTTTTTCAAAAGATTTATTTTTATTTATGCATACAAGAACAGGGGTATAGACCAGAGGTGGGGTGTGAGAGAATTCACCAGAGACAGAGTGGGGAGCAGAACAGGTGGATCTATTGAAATACACTGCTGAGAAGAGTAGCAGGCGAGACAGGAGAGGTCTGCTGTGCCATGTGTGTTAGCTCCCTGGCCTGGGATCGAGTTCATGGGGATTGAACTCATGGTGATTGAACTCATGCAGCAGTGGCTGGCAATACCCTGATAGCACTGAGACCTGAATCCCTGTGCCACCAGGGAAACCCTTACCTATAGATTTTGAAAGGGTACTTATGCCTAACTAACAACTTCCATATTAGAAGTCAGGTTATATGGGCACAAAGAAGTGATTTTCTTTATCACAGCAATTGTAGTAAACTGGTTTCCCAAGAGATCATAGACAACTTTATTCTTGTGTTGTGATCAGGTAAAGTTGGATTAGGCCCAAACTTTGTATGTTAGGCTGATTACTGCTTTAAATTGTATAAAATGACTAAGTTTCTCAATTATTCTGTCTGAAAAATATAGCTCAAATGTTGTAGGAATGAGACTCCACAGTGAATCCCCACATTAAAGCAAACGGTCAGCTCATTTCTAAATGGAAATCCCCAATTGTCACACCACATCAATCATTTGACATATAATCTGACTGCCACTGAACTGGAATGTACTTTAAAGGTCAGGTCTCAGGATGAAGAATTCAGCTTAGTGGGTTATGTAGCAAAAATGCCTAAATCCAGAGAGCTGTTTTTGTGTTGGCAGAAATCGCTTCTCTTCAAATAGCAGAAGGAAATGAAGAAAGAAAGATTTTAAGTGCAGCGTTTTTGACCAAGCACATTTCCTGCCTGTATCTCACTAAAAAATTGGATGGAGAAATAGAGGAAGGGAATAGAACCACATTCATATACTCTCATAGATGGTGCACACTTGAATCCTGCAGGCACAACTTATATGGTCTACACTCAAAATTTTGGGGAAATACCCTATTAGAAAAAAAAAAAGCAGATTTCTGGCTTCTCTTAAAATATTACAACCTCTGGCCATGGTGAGATAGTACTCATTTTGAGGAAAAATAGGCAGGAGCTGAGAATCTGCACCTTTCCTTACATGTGCTCTACCACTATACCATTCCCCATTTCTTACACCCATGGTATTTTACCTGCCTCGCCACGAAGCCTTTCAGATTCCTGCAGTGTCTGAAATGGATGCAGCGGGGTTAAAAAAAAAAAAAATACCTAAATGGTTAAAAATCTTGTTTGTTAAAGCAACGTGGGGAAACTAATGGCTGGTTTTGTTTCCAAACAGTCCTAAATCTGCCGTTTTTCTTTTTTAAACCATCTGACCCACTTTCTGCAGAATGGTTACAAGTATGAAACTAAGTTTCAAAGGAGGGACCTTGCAATCCCAGCTCTAGCACACGCGGTCTGTGTGACCTTGGGTGAGTCCGCTGAGCTATTTTAGCCACAGGTGGTGATCTATCTGTCCACGGATTCACACCCGTTCCCAATAATGGCTCACACGGCTGCTGCGCAGCACACATGAACTTCTGAGAGCCCTTCTAAGTCATCTGGAAACCGCAGGACGCTCCCCAGCACCAGCACGTTACAGACTGCGGCACCGCGGCTTCAGAAGTCGGGTTTCTGGAATCCGCGCTCATCCCACCTCCCACGCTCAGGGTGGGCGAGCTCTAGAAGATTCTCAGGGGAGGAGGTCTGAAAAACTGGCTTCCAGATGCAGCAAAAAGTTCCTCAGCAGGGGGTAAACTTGTTGGCGGCATTTTCAAGTCCCCAGAGTGACACACCGATGCAACAGCCGCGACGACAGACTCGGCGCGCGGGCAGCGCGGGAACCGACCCCGGGGCCACCTCCCCGCTCTAAGGCGCACCCCCACCCGCCCGGCGCGCGCGCCCGGGGCCGGGACCCCAGCCCCGGGATCCGGGACGTCGCCTCCTCCCCAACCCCCACCATCACCTCCCCCACGCCCCCCTCCACGTGACAAGAGCCGGAACCGTCACTTCCGGCGGCGCGGACAGCGCGCCTGCGCCTGGCGCCCGGCCTCAGTGAGCGGTTAGCCCCGGCGCCGCGCCGCCAGCGGCCGCGATTGGCGGGCCGAGCGGGTCGGGCTCGGGCGGCGGCGGCGCCGCAGGCTGCGGTCCTGAGGGTGCGCGGCCCGCGCGGTCCGGCCCTGTCCCCGGAGGCGCTGGCCGTCCCGTCCCGTCCCGTCTCCATCTCCCGCCTCCGTCCCGGGCTCGCGCCCCCGGCGCTGCGAGAGGCGGCGGGGGCGCCGGGGGCAGCGGCGGGGGCGGCTGCGTAGCCCCCGCGCTCGGGCCCGCCCCCTCTCGCCCCGCCCCGTCCCCGCCCTCCCCGCCGCCCTCTGCGGGAGCCGGGCAGCTGCATCCGAGCCGGGGAGCGGGCGGCGGGCCGGGGCAGCGCGCTCGCGGCGCGCGGAATGTGAGGCTCGGCGGGCCGCGGCGCGCACGGACGCTCGCGCGGGCGAGGGGCGGCGACCCCTCGCGGACACCCGGTCTCCCGCCCGGCGGGGCACGCGCCCTCTCGCTCGCCCTTTCGCGCGCCCCGCGCCCTCCAGCGCGCCGGCGGGACCATGAAGAAGTTCTCGCGAATGCCCAAGTCGGAGAGCGGCGGCGGCGGAGCGGCGGGCGGCAGTGCCGGCGGCATCGGGGCCGGCTCCGGCGGCTCGTCCGTGGGCGTGCGGGTGTTCTCGGTCGGCCGCTACCAGGTCACCCTGGAGGAGTCGCTGGCCGAAGGTACGGGCGCGCGGGAGGCTCGGGAGGGCAGGTGAGGGAGCGTTGGGGTGTGGCGGGGGCTTCTCCGGGTGCTGCGCGTCTCTCCATCTCTCGGTGTTACTCTTCTTCCCCCTTCTGGCTCCGCTGAAGCAGCGGAGCTCGTGGAGTGTAACTCGGGTTTTCGCTCTTCAGCCAGCTTTTCTCGCCGCTGGCAGCTCTGACCCAAGCACCGTTCTCTCACTGCCAGTTTAAATCATTTTTGGTCCTCCTGGACGTGAGGAAATAAGGACATAGCGTCTTCGCGAGTGATGTGGTGTCATGATTGGGCTAGTGAATGACTCATTAGAGGGTCAGATTGAGCTGGATTGAGGCTCTGTTCTGCCAGCTGTGGCTCAGGCGGGTGTCATGCGTTGGCCTCTACATCCTCGTCTCCACCCCGCGCTGCAGGGCACGGGACCTTGCAGACCCCGGTGGAGTGGAACCTCTCGGTTTGCTCCAGCTCAGTCATCAATTGAAAAAACAGTGTATTTCTGTGCGAGCGCTCACTGGAGGTGATACTCTGTCCCCAGTTCGGTTTTTGTAGGTTGCTTTCGGGGAGCAGGTAAACTTGAAGTCCGTTGATCTTTGTTATTTAGAATCTTCCCCTATCAGACATAGGCTTTCAAGGTCTCTTTGGTAGTACTTCATAGGCTCTCAAGATCTCTTTGGTAGTACTCTAAAAGGTGCTATGAAAGCACGTTAACTTTCGCTTGTGAAGTTTTGTGTTTGGCCCTTCATTATCTTCACCCGATTGTGTCAGCAACTGCAAGTGTGGCAACGAGAAAGTTTACTCCATTTTAAAACATCCTAAGCCTTAGTTCTGTATTTCTTGTATGAATGGTTTGTAGAAAATACTTTGTCTTGTTTTGCATGCTTCATTGACCTTTGAATCTTTAATTGCAGGATCTACAAATAAATACTTTAAACAATAAGAAATAATTTGTTGCTGAACAGCGCTTTCCAATTTCAAGGTTAACAGAAAAGATAGGGGAGAGAGTATGTAGTTTTGGTTATTTGTTAAATGTTGGTGTGGCTTGAAAACAGTACACTGAGATTCTATTTAATGTTTGAAGTGATGGGAATAGAAGATTTTTTTTTTAATCAAATATCCTATAAAGAAAGAAATTTTAACTTACTCAGGGGTGAGTGTTGTTTTGCAAAAGTCCCTAATAAGGAGCCTAGCTGAACCTTGGAGAGGTGAGAAGAGGATCTTGCAACTTCTCAAAAGAATATGGACATGGTGATTGATAATGGCAACTTTAATATGCTGTAAAATTTCCTAGCTGTTTATTATGGATGACTTTCAAGATCTGATTTAGATTGAGTTGTAAGTTTTATATTGAGACATGGTTATTAACTCACATACTGTAGTTCTGTCTTTGAATTGATGTAGTTTCTATTTGAAGTGTGACTGGAGTAGTATTACACTTCATTTCACTAAATCGTAAATGCTCCTTTAATAGAAAGAAAATATTGACATTGCATCAAACTAGATTTTGTATTTGTAGCATCTGTGGCTGCTTCAAGCATGGCCTGTAACTACCCCCAGCAAGTTATTTTCAATAAAAAGTAATGTTGGGAAATGAAAATAAAACACACACAAGCGTTTCAAGTGCTAATACCACTATCACAATGTTCCAATAACTGTTTGCCTTTAAATTTGTCATTTTCTTTTGGGAAAAAAAAAATCTGTAAACAAGTGTTAAAAGGAGTAAGCGATGAAGAAACCCTTTTGGAGGATGGAGCTGCCCCCTCCAGTACCCCAGCTCCTGGAGCTTGACTTCTAGCTTTCCCTGGAGAGGAGGCTGAAGCCTAGACTTTCTTCCCTTGTGTATTTCTTCTCTTTTCAGCACACACACAACCAAATCTACTTAAGGTGTTTTTTTTTTTTTATTCTAACAATTTTTTCTTATTTCAGATGCATGATATCCTTTCTCCCTTCCCAATGAGTAATGCCACAACCTAAATAAGATGTTTAATTAAGCACAGGTCAGATTCACATTCAGGAGTGAAAATCAGTCATTGACATACATTTGCACAATTATAAGATTAGTGTCAGTGCTTGTGGAAAGCCTTTAGAGTTTGCAGTACCTAAATATGGGTGCGGGTACACCATTAGGTGGGAAAAGGGGTAGAAGCTAAATCAGGCCAAAAACAAACTTGTTAGTTGTATCTTTGCTTTGGGTCAGTGTTTTTTAAACAGGGCAAGACCCTGTAGATGCTGTGCCTTGAGGCATTTTTACCATGCTAGTGCAGATACAGGCTTCTGGCTTACGGTGACCTCTGCAGTGTCTTTCAGTCTTCAGTAAATCTGATGTTCTCTCTCTCTGTGTCTCTTTCTTGAACCATTGCTCCTAAGGGAAACACAGGTTGGGGTACTGCAAGACTCTTCACGACATTTTTGTCAACCAGTCAACATAGAACCTTCTTTTATGTGTATTTCTGTTTAAAGACACCTTAATATATATTGTTGACTCATTAATACTGAACTAGTGGCCAGCATCCCTGTAACTCATGCCTAAATGAAACTTACGTACATACTTTCTTTGTAAGGGACATCAGCCTTCTTGTTTGTACGAAGATTAAGACAATACTTTGGCACGATCTTTGGGGCCATATCAAACATGGAAATCACAAGTAAAAAGTACAAAAATCAGAAAAACATGACACTAAATCTTGAAAAAGGTACTTGTTTACAGTGTAAGACAAGAATGCTGAAACAAGGCAGACTGTCACTTTGTTGACTCCAGCTGGACTAGTCAAAATTTCACCACTATGTATCTGCAATTGACGATGAAAATCCCTTTTTATTTATTTTGGGGGTATTGTATTGCTTTGGGGATATAAATAAATTGTAGCAGATAAATTTACATATATGGAATCTCCAAATGAGGATCAATTATATATGTTTATGTGTATATATATATATTTGTGTCTGTATGTATGTCTCTACATATGCATTTTTACCCTTACTGTATATATTCAGTCTAAGAGAAGGCATGGGTTCTCTTTGTGTATGCTTATGTTGTATGTTAAAACTTAACTGTTGGAGTGTTTACTTTCAGAAATTCATGCATTCTATCAGTCTCTTTCTGGTTGAAAATGCTGACGCCTTGCACCTTTTTAGCTGCTGCTCAGAATTTAGAGGACTGATGTCACAGTGGGGCACTTTTGTGGTTTTTCTCAAAAACAATTGTGTTTCTGGAGTGCATGCTAACCAATCCAATTTTGGGCTAAAGAGTGGAGGTAAAGCTATATGTCAATTTTAGCTTGAAACAGTGTAAAATTGTTAAACGCATATAATTCATTGTCACATTCCAAGTTGATTGCATGCCTCTGCTGTCCTTCCGTACTAGTCAGAGGAGTTTAATATTGATCAATAATGGGAAAAAGTCCCCGAGAAGGGGGGAAAATGTCCCTTCTCGAGAAGAGGACTTTTAAAAAAAATTCAGTCTTGTACAACGAGGACTTTAGTAAATAGAGAGCATGGCGACTGGGACACCATGGATAATTTGTTGAACTAATCTAATCATGAAGCTAGGGAGGCTGGATAAGGATAGCATTTTTGAGTGTGGTTTGTTGGGTAAAAACTTTCTAACATGTACATTGGGGTTATTGGCACTGTCAGTAATTGAAAGTCAGGAATTTACTACAGAGTTCTGTGAAAGTAGCACAGTATTTCTTTCAGAGTTAACTGTTTAGTGTAATGAATTTAGATTAAATGTTAACTAATTCTTATTAATTTTACAGGAAGGTAGTATAATACGTCTGGTTTTGTAGTAAACTGCATTTTCAGTAGGAAAATGATGAATTTAAGCATGATCTATCATTTGCAGAAGTTATCTGTGCCTTCTCAGTAATTTGCATGTTAATTTTGAAAAAGGATAGAGAGCAGAGGAAGCAAGTATTACTATATAATTATTTATTAAGTGCTTTTGTATCAGGCTCTGTACTAGACACCACTTTTACAGTGGAGAACAAAACCTATTTCTCTGGCTTTCAGTAAGGTGACTTATAGTCTAGTGTGGAAGATGAACGTAATTATTAAAAACAAAAACCACTAAGATAGTGTAGTTAACAGTTTTAGTAATGGTCATGAGAAGAAAGCATAGGATTTGTGAGTGAATAACTGGTTCATTTTATGTTGGATGATCAAGGAAGCCTTTTTTAAATTTCATTGAAACCTGAATTGAAGTATGAGAAAAGTTAGGTAAGGTTGTGAAGATAGGGGTGATGCAATATATGTCATGAAGAAAGAAGTGCCTATCTGGGGAAGAGTTTCAGGAATTTAATTATGTCCAGAGTTGTGGACTAATTGAATGAATCATAAGGAAGAAGGGCCCAAAATGATGTTGGAGAGGTGATGACCTGGGTTATAGGACTTTGTATGGATTTTAGATTTTATTTGCAGATGCAATGGAAAGGTACTAAAATTTAAGATTAGGACAGTGGATATTTGTTCTGTTTTGCATGTTCAGAAAATCTATGTAGTGTGGCTGAGAGGTCCATAAAGTACAAGATTCGGTTTAATGGTGGCAGTGAGAATGGAGTCAGTGAGAATTTTATCATAGAGTGGGAAGACCTCGTTGTAGGAAGTATGAAGAATGAGTTGCTAATGCAGCTCTTGGATGGAGGCTCCATTTACTGAGATGGGGCACAGGAGAAAAGGGACAGATTTCTTGAGTGGTGAAGGTGGAAGGCTCTCCAGTAGTTCCAGACATGTCTAGTTGAGATAGTTGAGAGGGAATACCAAGTTGGGAAGTTGAGTGTATTCTCTCATTCTTAGGTAAGATGTCTGGGTTTAAAGAAAGAATACCTCTTCTTTTTTTTTTTTTTTTTTTTTTTTTTAAGAAAGATAATTCTGATTGAGCATTTGGCTGTTATTTAAATCCCTCCCTCAGAGAGGATGGATGCAGGGATAAAATGTAGAATAAGAAGGGGAGGGCTCTCACTGAGGGACTCCTGTACAACATTGGTTCCAA